ATGTTCTAGCTACTTGAGGGGGGCTATATGAACAAGCCCATGCGCAGGCCCCTGGAAATGTTCAGATCAAGTTCCCATCGACAGGCACGGCTTCTGTAAATGGAAGGTTTAAGCTCTAAAGTCCATTGTCTAAGATCCCCAGTAGCTGGCAATCATATCCCCTAATCCCGAAACCCTAAACCCTAATACGTTTCAGAACAGGGGTTCATGGGTATATAATTTCACATGCATCCCAAACATGACCTATATGGATTACTGTGGCTTCAACAGCTCAGCCATCAACATGTCAATGAGGGGCGCTATGATGGTCAATATTGTGACTTTAGTGTGTTGTTCCTAAACCCCTTAACGCGTTTCAGGGTTAGGGTGAGGCAAAAGACAGCCTGGCAGATCAATCACACATGCAGGTTTAGCCTTGAACCTAAAACCTACCTTAAGCTACCAAAACCTTTTTTGTAGGTTCCTCATAAATTCTATACTAGGGTTTACAATAGGACCCTACAAACAAAAAGTAGGTTTTGGTAGCTTAAGGTGTAGAACTTGCCCGGCAATGCTGTGGCTCTTGTAAAAAACAGTACCGAAGAAATAAGGGTGTGGGGCCAGAGGGGAGAGAGAGAGAGAGAAAGAGAGAGAGAGAGAGAAAGAGAGAGAGAGAGAAATCCGGGTTCAGACAAGATGAAGGGCTTATGATGGTTCAGGGCAAAAGGCCCAACAATCAGTGAATGGGCGTTGCTGGGGAGCCAATAATGTAGGACTTCAATGATTGCATCGCGCTGTAAGTTGGAATGCAGCGACAAAAACAAAATTGTCTAAGAAATGGCCCCTCCCCCAAAATGTGTGGAAATCCGCATTAAACCTTGAACCGCACAAAACCTACATTGCAAGCCTTCTGCAGAAGAAGTCCTGACGCACATGGCTATCTTCGCCTTGTTCTCCTTTGGGGCTGCGTTCGCATTCAGGCCCTGGAGCTTACTGTTGAGACTTTAGGGTTTAGGGTTTTAGGGGGGTTAGGGTTTAGTGTTTAGGGAGTTTAGGGTTTAGGGGGTATAGGGTTTAAGGGGGTTTAGGGTTTATAAGGGTTTAAGGGGGCTTAGGGTTTTTAGGCGGTTTAGGGTTTAGGGGGTTTAGGGTTTTCAGGGGTCTAGGATTTAGGGTTTTAGGTGGTTTTGGGTGTAGGGTTTAGGGTTTTAGGTGGTTTAGGGTTTAGGGCTTTAGGGGGCTTAGGGTTTAGGGTTTGGGGGGGTTCAGGGTTTGGGGTGCTAGGGGATTTAGGGTTTATAGGGTTTTAAGGGGTTTAGGGGGTTTAGGGGGTCTAGGGTTTAGGCCTCAGAGCACTCAGACGGCTTATTACAACTACAGTTTGTCGGTTTTGTAGGAGTTTGGGCTCAAAGGGTTTGTAGGATTTGGGCTGATTTAGGTTTGATTGCTGAGCTGCCCAAGGATTTGAAGTTGATGGGTAGCAATATTTAGGCATAGGGTTTAGGGTTTAGGCATACGTCGGGAGATGCTGGATGCAAAGATCGGCAAATACAGCTTGAAGGCCGTCACGAGTTCAAAGTCCTGTTATCGGAGTGCAGCCATATCTACGACCATTTGTTCGTTTTTTGACGTTACTCATAGATCTACTTAACAGCCTTTGTGCACTCCTCTAGAGAGACACCTTGTGATACTGCTGCAGTTTCCAGTATATCTCTGGAGATCCAGAGGGATACCCCCAGTTAAGAAAGCAGGCAGGACCGGCAGGACCGACGAACAACGTGCTAACTTGAGGAAGTCGGATTGAGGCTTCATATGAGCTACAGTCTAAGCTCCTTAAGCGGGCTTATACAGGGGAATACATAGGGGATTACTATGGGGGTTATTAAGGGGGATACTAGGAGTTTAGACTATAGCTCATATAGGCTGTAGGGCTTCAGCGCCCCCTTAACATGGCCCAAGATTCTTATCGCAGAACCCCAAGAAGAGGACTCTAAGATTTTAGAAACTCGCACGTGGAGGAGCAGGAGAGCTTCGTAAGCATATTTAGAACAACTATACCCCAGCGAATAATGCAGTTATCGCTGTTATTAACCTACTTAGCAGCTACCTGTGCAAAAGTCTTCGTTGAACCAATTTTTCAGAGAATTGCCACTTCCCTAAGGTTCCCTAAGGCTTCCTTGTACCCTCCCCCCTTGAACCACCCCTCCTTTAGGATCCTATAAACCCTAAACCCTAA